GGAAGTTAGATGCTCACTCATTGAACTCATTTAAATTCAACAAACCATCCCCATCGGCATCTGATGCATTGAAATGCTCCTCTTTCCACCAACCCATGTTATAGCCAAGAGAATTGTTATCTAACAAATTAAACATAATTAGTATCTAGTCAAAAACTGCTCTTTAAATTTAAACATAATAATTACACCAAAAACGAAGTTACATGCTACAAAGTTTTGAAGGTGAGGATCTAAAACAAGATATGAACCACAAATAGATCAATTGACCAAAGAGGTGAATACTGTAGTTACTTAATCATACTTTAAAAAGCATTGGAGTTTATCATTTCTTTAAGTAGCATAATTAAGTAGGTTCAATGCTATCATATTCCTTGCAACATCATATCCATCTTAAAGTTTATCAAAGGATATAGGCACGCATCTATCATCACATGATTAAACATACTCTCTAAATGATGTAATAATGAGTCACATTATTTGAGGAACAATCCAGAAAAGCAAAGAAATTTACATACATATCAAATATAATGAAGCAAATATTATTCCTGGACCTGATGAGGTTAAAAGAATTTGCAGTTCACATGCTAAGAGAAAATCAAATTGCCTTGATTATGAAGATAGTATTCAATAGCATTCAAAACTGAGCACCAAAGAAAGAAATGAAAAATAAACAAGAAGAAATACTTATTACTCCATTACAAAGTTTCCACCATAATCCAAAATTCTCCTAGTAAAAAAATTAATATGTATCATATTGTCAAATAAAATTAAAATTACGTTCATGGTACTTAGACTTCAATAAACAGAAGAGAAGAGTGAGACTACAAACCCAAATTCTGAACCCAACTAGGGGGCTCGTACTCTGCAAATGAAACAAAGCCATCGTGATTTTTATCATGAATCTCCATCTCCCTCTGCGTCCGGTGAAAGACTTCCTTCTCAGCCTGCTTCAAGTTCCACTTAGTCAACTCACTCTCAGTAAGTAATCCATCAGCTGGGTCCACATCAATCTTTGGGAATAGCAAAATCAACCTGTTCATTGCATCAAGCCTCTAACTAATTAATACACGCGATAAATGAACTAACATTAACTCCAATAATACAAAATAGGCACAAACATGCACTAATGGTTTATGTGCTGCTTTAATATCAATTTCACACCTATCCACAAATAAAAAAAAGAATCTGTTGAGCCAAAAGACAAGAACATCATGTAAATATGTAAATGTATCAAATAATTAGTAATTACTAATCACAAAAGTCTCGTAATTAGCAAGAGAAAAGATCTATACTTACATTCAATCAAGAAGGAGACACAAACATCACCATTGCAAAAATGACATACCTTTATGCACAAGTAAAAAGAGAACCAAATTTACTAGCTAAAAAAGAAAAATTAAAAACCAAATACAATTAGTAAATACAATAACCATCATTATGAGTACAAAAAGGTATCACGAACCTATTGGTGACATTGAACCTCTGCTCATCATTCAAGTAATCTTCAGCATCCATGAAATCCTCCCACTCGGGCTGGGACTCATGGCCGGGAGCGTCTTGATGGGTGGATATCAACTCGGGGTGTTCATGCTGGATGTATTCTTTCTCCCACTGGCGGTCCTCCCGGATCCGCTCCATGTCAGCCACAAGTGGATCAAAGGCAACAGGCTCATGTTGGTTGTCTCTGCCAAATTTGAAGTTAGAACGCAGCTTGAGGCGGCGGTGGTTGTTGCGGTGGTCGGGGTCTTTATTGGGAGAGTGAGAGATGAGGAAGAGGACCAGAAGGGCTACAGTAATGTATATAATCACCGAAACTTTACCCATCTCTGAACTATACCCAGCAGCTCATACCACTGAATGTTTATTTCCGGAAGAGAGATCCAGGTGAATGCGGAGCTGGGGTTTGAGGAAATGGAAGAGATCTAGTGTAATTATGCAGAGAGAGAAGGGCTTACACTACAGAAGTGAAAATGGAGGCTTTGAAGGATTTGGACTTTGAAAGAACAGAGGGGAAACTGATGGAAAACGGATAGGTTGGGAGCTAGATCTGGTTTAGAGTTTCCTTACACAAGAGGAGCCAAGTCCACTACGAAAGAAGCTCGAGTTCGGCTTGCTTAAGAATATAACATTAGTTGGAGAGAGAAATATATATATATATATATCGGGAAAGTGGGCGTAAGTCCCACCTCCCAAAAAAAATTTGGAGTCCCAGACCAAACGGTGTCGTTTTTCTCCAAAAAAAAAACTCAGTTCTGCTGTTCTCTTTTCTCTCAAAAATCCAGCCCTGCTCCTCGCCTCCTCCGACAATCATCTCCATCTCCTTCTTTGCCCCTTCTGCAATCATCTCCATCGCCTCTTCACCTCCTCACTCAAAAAGCTCCGCAGTAATGTCGCCCCCTCTGCAATCATCTCCATCTCTCCCTTTTCCCCTTTTCCCTCATGTGAGGTTGAGGCGATTAGAAGCCAAGACACATAACCACGCCTCTCACGAGCTCGAAGTGCCATAGAACAAAAGAAATCGAGATTTGTGTTCCTTTGTCACACGAGCTTGAGGGAGTTGCGAACCAATTTATTTGGGTTTTGCAAGTTTGGTTGCTGTGATTTTGGTTATAATAGAGGAAACCCAGATCTGGGTTTGTTGTCTTCAAAGATGCCTGAGTTCTGCTCCTCGTCTTTTCTCTTTCCCGAGTTCTGTTCACAAATTGAATTTATGAGTTTTTTATTTTTTATTTTTTATT